AAAGACAGAAAGGAGAAGCCAGCATATAGTAGATGGAAAGGAGGTGGGTAGAAGGAGGGAGTGTTGAGTCATGCCAATCTTCCTGGAAAACACATTTATAGAAAGAGAAGATGAATGCCAGTTGTGTGGTGCTTGCCTGTAATCCCAGCACTGGGAAGATGGAGGTAGGAATATCAGAATTTCAAAGTAAACCTCAGTTATATATTGATTTTCATGCTAGTCTGGGCTGCATGAGACCCTGATTTTCCTGCTTTTGTTTTGAACGGGAAGATCTGAGAGAAGGCTGTAGTTAGTAGAACACAAGGGGTGTTGTTTGAGTTGGGGAACCACTTTGATTTGGTTTCCTTTAGGTGTGAGTGTGTGTGTGTGTGTGTGTGTGTGTGTGTGTGTGTAGACAGGGGGAGAGAATAGACATATTTATGAACGCATGTGTGCATAGAATAGGAACATTAGGAAGTAACAGGTCATGTGCAGTTTATAAAAACAAAACAATTAATTATTTAGTGTGTTACAAGGTTAACCAGCTAAAATCAAAGTTCCTCAGTTCTGTTGGGTTCTGTGGCACACATCTGCAACTAGAGTACACAGAATGCTCAGGCAGAATTGCTCTAAATTCAAAGATGGCTTCAGCTACAATGTAAGATCCTGTCTCAAGTATCAGAAACAAAAGCAAGCAAGCAAATAGAAATTCTCTGCCCTAAAAGCGACCTGTCTAAATACTGTTTAAATGACAAATGTTCAAGAGTATTTGATCAACCACATGATACATGCAGGTTTTTTGCAAGTATGATCTATTACACTAAGTGTTTTAAATTGATTTATTCTAAAAATGGGGCCAGATTTGTAGTTATCAACTTTCTTGGTCCTGTTAGTCCCAACATGGCTAGTTCCAAATTGACAATGGGATGTCTCCATGGAAACACCTAGACTAAATGTGCAGAGTTTATTCCCACAATTCCCAAATTAGCATTTCTATCGCATGTACTCTTTTTCTGCGCCTTACCTTGAAATTGGAAAAAGACTTTCCATGAGAAAGGTTTTTAAGACCATGTCTCTATATTTTATCATGAAGGTCTGTTTTCCCCAGTAGGGAGCCAGATTAGAGAGAAATATCTAGAATCATTGCATATGGGAATTGCCTGACCTACTTTCACGAAATGAATAATACTGACCAAGATGGAGAGAACTGTGACAAGGCACTACTTGTGTTCCTGTAGCTACAGCTGGATTCTAACTCTAGACCTGGTGAATGGCCATCTTGATGAATCACACATCTTAGGGAATACACTCGAAATATAGAAACATGAGGACTGTGTTTTGAACTGACTCCTGATGCTACTGAGACCCCTTAGGAGGTTAGAATGAATTGGAAGCACAGGATACAATGGAAACTGTGGAGATAGTTTGTGTATCGCTGATTGATTGATTGATTGATTGATAGTTTTGGTCTGGTTTTCGGTTGTTGTGAATCCAGAGCCTCCTGCATATTAGACAAGCGCCTCTAGTTGAACTGCATTCTGAGCCCATCTTAGCCTCAGGAGAAGAGAAGCTGACCTTCACAGAATCTTTCTGCTTGGAAATTATCACTCCCCCAGGCCACACCATGTTCAATCCTCCATTGGAACATTCCCTCTCATAGTTCATTGAGAGTTTTCTAGAATTTATGTAACTTTTCTATGTAGAATGTTACAGCAAGCCACCCTCGTATATTTGGATTAATACTGATTCCAAGTCTCTGTAAACTTAAAAGAGATGATGAAAAGCTGAACAATTACAACTCTTTCTAAGAAAGAAGGGCTGTGGATATTCTAGGCCCTGGGATGAATGTCTGACTTGACTGTTTATACACAAGGCTCATGTTAAAGCTCCTTGCTTTCATAGAGAAGAGTCTCATTAAAATTCCTACAACTACTTTTAATCAGTATAAGCTTTGATTAAAAATGAAATGAGAAATGCCCTAGGCCTTCTGACACTGAAAATGGAAAGTTAAGTGAATTATATCTAATATAACAGTTATTAGAATGATTTTGTGGGCAAAGCCATCAAATTATGGAAATGTTAAGACTGTCTGATACTTGGTATTTCCACAAAGTATGATCATTAGACTAAACACTCATAATAGTTAAGGGGCTAAGGGGAACGGGCTTTCTCTCAAGCTAGTTTTCCACATAGGCGGACTGAGTTTCTGTTGGGGCTTACCATCACTTCATCAGCTGTAATATGTTCCCCCATTTCTTCTCCACGGCTGAACATTTCCCAACCCTGGGAAGCAGCACATATTGCCAGCCACTGCAAGACTGTCCTGTATCCTCTGGCACATGCTTAGAGCTTTGCTTTTTGTTTTTCTGACTTGCTGATAGTAATCGGCTGCGTTGTAGATAAGTTATGCACTAAATAACTAAGCTATTGACATTTATCCAATGTAAGTTCAATGAGTGGTGTGCAGGTGCTGTCTTTATGAATACCTGGTTCACAAATCTGAAGTCTAAAAGAAATTTAAAGATTAACTGAGAGCTTTTTAAAAACTAGATCAGAAAACTATTTCAAATTCAAGGAATCTGAGCAGCAAGTTAAAAAGATCAAAAGGATCAGAAATCGCACACAACTCACTGTGGGATGTGTAACTCCAGGTACCTAAGTGTCATGACCATGAATGAGAATTTCATTTCATAGTATATATGCCCCCTTTCTCTATATGTTGATGTAGATTTAGTCTTTTAAATATTTATGTTTAAGGTGCTCTGTCTTAATCTTGGATAAATGTGGGAACAGAACATTTCTGTAGAATTGTATTATAAACAAAAATAGCATTTAAGACTTTTTTAATCTGCAATAATGCATTTTAAGTGTGTTGTAAACCATAATACAACCCATGTGGAAGACCAGAGTTTATTTATTTGCCTATATTTTTAATTATTTACAATAACCATTTGTAATTTTATATGTTTTTAAAAGACCAAGCCTTTGCAAAGGTATGATGTATGCTAAGCCTATAGAACTATTTATAGTTGTCCAGAAAGCTGTGAGATGTCTGATCTGTCACCTCCTCCTGGATGGTGACATTCTCCACCATGGCACAGTGGCTCCCAGGCTGGTCCCCTGTGACACCAAGGCACAACAGCTCTGTGCTAGTCTTCTACTGTGTGATAGCACAACAGCTTTCCTGCTGGTGCCCCATGGAGTTTTCTCCTTCACAATACAGTGTCTCTGAAACATGGTTATGGCTATATCCCCAACCCCCTCCTTAAATTAGAAGCTAGACTATCTTTCAGCACAGTGACAAGTCATCTTATTTTATGCTCATAAGTGTCTTCCTTGAATGTATGTATGTGCACCATGTATCTAGTACCCACAGAGGCCAGAAGAGGGCAATCTATGTCCTGGAAATGCAAACACAAATAATTGCAAGCCACCATAAGGATGCTGGGGACCAAACTCAGCTCTCTAAAACACCAGCTAGTGCTCTTTAATGATAAGCTATGTCTTCCACTCCAACAAATAAATTATCGGTCATCACCAACAATTTGTGTGTGTGTGTGTGTGTGTGTGTGTATGTGTGTATGTGTGTGTGTGCATGTATTCACATGTGTTTGGAGGCTGGAGGTCAAGATGAGATGCATTTCTTAATGGCTTTCTGCTTGTTTTTTTGATAAGGTCTTTCATTGAATTTGGATCTAATCAACTCTGCTAGATTGGCTGACCAGCAAGGCCCAGGAATCCTCTCGACTCCACTCTCACGTACTGCTATTCCGGGTGTAATGCTATGACTGGGTTTTTAAATAGGTGCCAGGGTCTTCATACTTTTGTAGCAAACATTTTATCAATGAAGCTATCTCCCTATCTTTACCAACAACTCTTATAAAGAGAGTGCCATGGACTATTGCTATGAGGAATGCATTTGCAGATATGCTGCATGCTAAGTTTCATCTACAATAAGAAGAATTGAGCCAGTTACTGAAATGAAGAAGTGAACGGTGTTCTCCCTTGTGTGATTGATTTTCTAGCCTGGTGTAGGTTGTGTGGGAAATGGTTGAACAGCCTGCATTCTTTCTACAGGTACTGCTATGTCTGTAGGAGAAGAAACTGAACAGTCTAAGAATTTTGGTCAAGTTTCTTAGGTTTCTCTGGTCTGCTGTCTGGTTCAGCTGCTTTCTGTTTGCCCTCAGGCTCTACTGAACTTATGCTTCAAATCCCATTCTGACATTCTTGTGTTCCCTCGCACTCTAAATTTTCAAACTTTTTCTTGTCTCCTGATTCTTCTTCATCTGACTTGACATTAGCTCATTTCTTCTATCATCTCCAAACGTAAGTCTAGTGCCCAGTCATGGAGACTCTTCCGAGACCTAACACGGCATACTATCATAGCCTATAAAAAACGTGGATGAGGAAGGGTGAGATTGAAATGCTAAAAGGAAATGACCCTGTAGGGAAGCAAACATGTTGACGTGTGTTAGTAGAAAGTACTTATACTCTGTGAAGTAAACATGTTTCAGCAAGGAACCCTGGTATTTAAGAAATGACCCTCCCCAAGAGAATTCCTGAGAAGGATACAAAAAAATAGAAAACCCACAGCATTTTAAGATGGAAGGAAGGAAGGGAGGGAGGGAGGAAGGAAGGAAGGAAGGAAGGAAGGAAGGAAGGAAGGAAGGAAGAAAACAAAAGCAGTAAAGGTGTTGGAGGAGGTGGATGGATTAACAAGCATCTCCATGATTGTCCTACAAGTTGGCTCTGACTCTGAGGACCTCAGGAAACACCTGTTTGTTTTCTTTCCCTCCTTTATTGTTCTGCGCCAGCAGGTGCTGACAGTCATCTTTGACTTGATTTCCTATTGTGCTTTCATAAGTAGAATGGACGTATCTTACTTTTTTAAGAACCAATGAAAATTCACAAAATTGAATAGGTAACACATTAGATTTATGACTACAATTTTTGTTGCTTGTAGCATGAAGTTATCAAGGATTGCTTCTAAAACTATCTTGTAAATCTCTTTTGAATCCCAGGTATTGCCATTTCAGATGAGCTTGATAAGGTAAGCCGAGTTCTGTATCTAATGAACAGATGCAGGACTTAAGTTTGAATTCACCTCTCAATTATATTTTTCTGAAACATACAAAATCTTCCAATATAGTTTATTTGGTGTTAATATTTTAGCACTTTGATAATCCTTAATAAAAATCATGTATCACCTATTCTTTGAGTTAAGGCCTATAAAATTTGCTTAGACTAAATATAATCACCAAATAATTATATGAAAATGAAAAGCCAGTGCTACCATATCTATTATTTGGATTTGGCCATATCTAGTGATGACGATGACTATTGTGATGATGGTGGTGATACTGATAGTGGTAATGGTAGTAACCATAGTGATGATGGTACAGATGATGATGGTGATCATGGTGACAGTCGTAACCATAGTGATTGATGATGGTGATGGTGTTAACGATGATGGCAATGATATGGAAAGAACTTGACACTTTCTATCCCTGCCCTTCCTCATTAATTATTGCTGTTTGCTTGATTTACCTTTCCAAGATGCCAAGAGAACATGATGATAGTCTAAAGTGTGGTGACAGCTGCCAGGGTGGTGAGAATAGGGGTCCACAGACTGGGTACATATTCCCACAGTAACGCCTGTGGCACTCACTGCTCCTGGGGGCTGTGAAGTCACAGAAGTCAGGCAGTGACTGCTGAGTTGTGAAATGTGGCTTCTGCTCTAACTGCAGTGACTGGGAAAACTGAGGAAAGGCAAATGTTCGGGGCTGTTATCAAGAGTTCTCTTTGTGAGTATTCTTCTTGAGCACATTCATCTTGAACTGTCTATTGAACATGTTTGTACAGTTGGTGCTCACAGAGCGGATCTGCTTCAAACAACATGCTAGTGAGTCACCTGGATTTAAATTTTCAACATCTTTTAGTCTCATGACCCTTTATCAGTACTACAGAGGTCACTAAAGACCTTTACTTCGTGCATATTGTATCTGGCAATATTTGCCATGTGAGAAATTAAAACAGATAAAATTTTATGTGTTTATTATTTTTAAATGGTACTAAATAAAGTTTACATTATGAAAAATAACATATCCATGGAAAATACTTTATTTTCCAAAATAAAATATTACTGAGGAAGAAGTCTTCACATCTTATAAACCTCTTTTTTTTTTTTTTTTTTTTTTTACTGAGAACAGCCAAAAGCTGCTGTATTCTCCTTTCTGTGTCTTCCTTTAATATACTGCAGTTTTCATCTATGGATGGAAGAAATCTGGCATCAGAAATGTAGTTAAAAAGGGATGACCTGGAGAGAGCCATCATTGATAAAATATGGCACAGACTGAGACTGTATACATCATGACATTTAAAAATAGCAAAGAATAGTACAAATGACGTTGTACCAAAGCGAAACATCTCAAATAGTAATATGACTTTGATATTTTAAAAATGTCTGCCCGAGTCTCTAAAAAATTCTCCAAAGCCTGGATGTATTCTTTGACATGGTTTCCTTCAATAACCATCACTGTGTTGAATAGCTACGTGTGGTAACTCTGCAAGACTGCCTTCATCGTGTAAAGTGGAGTGAGAGCCAGGTGCACTCTCCAGCTTTGTCCATCATTTCTAATTCTCTCTCTCTCTCTCTCTCTCTCTCCCCCTCCCCCCCCCTCCCGCATCCCTCTGGGCCATGAAACTTCCTCACAATTTGCAAAAACTTCAACTTAATAGTCTCATCTCTTACCGCTTTGATCTAGCTTCACTTTAAATATGAAGATCTGCTCTCCAAGATCCCTGCCTTTCCTCTCTTCTTGTGCGCTGAGTGGCGGTGCCATTGCTGTATCTTACTGCTGAGCTCACTGACCTTTCTCGTGTTTGTTTTTGTTTAATCTTTTTTTGAAATTCATTTATCAATCACTTTACATATCAATATCAGCCTCCCCCCCCCAGTAGCCCTTACACAGATCCCCCATTCCCTCCTCCTCTGAGAAGAGAGAGCCCACTACTGGGTATAACACTCCTTCCCACTCCCCACCTCCCTCCTAACACCCCCCACATCCTCTCCCACTGAAGCCAGACAAGGCAGCCAGCTAGGTGAACTGTATCCACAAGCAGGCAACAGATTCAGGCTCAGCCCTGTTCTAATTATTATTATTATTGTTATTATTATTATTATTTATTATTTTAACTGAAATGGCTTTGGATCTCAGGGTGTGACTTAGACACGTGGTCAGCTGCCTTCCACCGTACATCCTTACCCACACACCTTCTTCCCAATACTGAACCTGAGCAAGGAGGCAGAGGAGGCTAGTCCAATCCAGAAATCTACATGACACTGTTTATTTTAGTCAGTTTACCTAATACTTGCTTCTGAAAACTTTATGGAAATTTACTATGTTTATTTCAATTGAGAAAAACACCAACAATTGTCATAAGTGACTTCTCTTTTTGAAAATATATTTATGTCAGTGAACAAACTCTTGATGCCATTCATATCTGATATTCATGGGTGAGAGAGGATTCCAGGCTTGAAGAAGACCCAGGTCCTCCACCAGCCGCGGAAGCATCACTGAGTAGAGATCCTGCCCCACAGCACCCCCGTGTGGCCATAAAACTCACAGTTTTGAATTTTCGTGACTCCAAAAAAGACCCAAGTTCAGATATCTGTAAATACAAGACTTTTTATTTGTATTTTTTATTTTGTAGTAGTTCTTTTTTAGGGGAGAGGATTTCTAATATAATCACAATGTTTCTACCTTTCCTTTGCTTCCTTGAATCCCTCCCAAATAGCCTTCTCCATTCTCCTTCAAATTCAGGGCTTCTTACCCCCATAAATTGTTATCACATGCATATATGTACACATACATACATATGTTAGAAATTCTTTCCCCTAAAAAAGAACGACTACAAAATTCTGAGAAAGTGTTCCTTTTCATTTATGCCTTCTGGGATCTGAATACATATCTTACTGTCTGTCTATATATGTACCTACCTGTCTCTCTGTCTCTCTGTCTCTCTGTCTCTCTGTCTGTCTCTATCTATCTATCTATCTATCTATCTATCTATCTATCTATCTATCTATCTATCTATCTATCTA